ATGGTGAGATCGATCGTGCGATCAATATCGATAACGATCGTGAGATATATGGTGAGATTGATGGTGAAATTCGTGAGATCGATGGCGCCACCTCATCGCCATCACAGTCATCGCAGTTGATGTCAGTGGGTATTCCTTTGCCCCCAAACCTCTTTCTGGTCCGAAAGGTGGTCGTCTAGGTATGTATGTTTTGAAACTCATGCCTATGAGAACAAATACGCCCCGCCCCAGGGCGCCGCCCACATCGATGACATCTCGGGCAAATCCCCAGTACCGCCCTCCCGGGCCTCCCAGGGAGCCCCAGGATGGCCTCGAGACGGCACAGGGCGGCTCCGAAACACCTGCACAAGCTGTCATACGGCCTAGGGCACATTCCCGACGGCCACCAAACCCCCACGAGTGCCCAAGACAGTGCCAAAAGGCCTCTAAGAGGCCCCCAACACCGCCCAAGAGACCTCCAAGGAAACCCTTCCGTGGCCATTTTGGCTCAAGCTGTTTCGTCTCTAGCGGCACAACCGTTTCCTTTCCGTCTATTTCACGATGCGTGGCCATGTCTGTAGTTTGCTGTTCCTGGCCCAGATAGCGGGGCAAGCCACTGGCATGACTATGAGCGAGAAGAAGGTCACTGTCTGTGGCGAGACGTTCACGGAAGCCCAGATAGTGTCGGGGCAGGCCCATATCTCAGAGGCCGTGTTCATGGTGGGCGTGGACCCGAAGGAGCAGACGGCCGCGCTGCTTGAAGCAGCCAAGGCGGAGCTGGCTTGGGAACCACACACGACGTTCGCAAATATTGGCCTGTTTTGGGGCACGATGGGTCAGGACCAGGTGCTGTGGTTCATGAGGAGGGACGAAATCAAGTATATCCAGGCGGACTGCCAGACTCAGACAGCCACGGGTGGCGCCAGTGGCGCCGCGTGACCTCGTGGCTCACACTCAACAGAGTCAGCGTGATTCAAGCGCATCCGCCCGTTCAGTTAAGGCTCGCTCCTCCTCCTCCTCCTTCTTCTCACCCTTCCTCCTCCCTCCTTTCACTTTCCTCCTTTCTCCTCCACCTCCTCCTCCTCCTCCTCCTCCTCCTCCTCCTCCTCCTCCCCTCGTCTTGGTGACGGCACGTCAGGTCCTTCGCCCGCTTGCGCGCCCGCCTGTGTGACCTAGGGATCTCTGCTCCGCCGACAGACCCCGCGCACGGCCAGAGGGCCGGTCCGGAAGAGGACACGGGGGGAGCAGGTCATGCAGAGCCGCCTTCGAGGAAAAAAAACAGATCTCCAAGGACACGCTCGAGAGGCCCAAATCATTGAACCACCCAAGGAAAATCTATGCCGTTTGCGTTCCCGCATTTTCGCCTCCGACGAGCTTCCGAGGCTTGCGCATGATCCTTGCGAGAGCTCCAAGATGCCTCCAAGACACGCCCCAAGCGGCCCCGAGAGACCTGAAGAGGCCACCAAAACGCTCGAAGAGGCACCCACGAGGCGGCAAAGGGGCTCCCAAGAGGCTCCGACAAGCTCCCAGGAGCCACCCAAGAGTCCCCCACGGGCTCCTAGAAGCTCCTAAAGCGCCCAAGAGACCCATAAGCAGCGCCCAAGAGGCCCCAAAGAGCGCGCCGAGAGCCCCCCGAGATCCCCAGGAGGCCCAAGAGCAAGATGCCCTACAGGACCCCACGAGACGCCCGCAACAGGGTCCAGGAAGGTTATGAAGCCACCCCAGAGACGCCCCCCCGGGAGACTACCCACGAGACATCCTCTCTGCTCATCTCTCCTTCCTGATCGCTCCCCTGCTCCCTTTTCCCCACTGCGTCTTTTCTCTTCTCCTTCTCATCTCTCATTCACTCTTTCCCCCCTCCCCCGCCTTCCTCGCCCTGCTTCCCGGAAGGGGGGGCCCCCTCAAAAAAAACACTCTCATACATCCCTTTTTTAAAGTCGCCCTCCCTCCATTCGCACCTGCGCCTAACGCTGGCGTGCCAAAGACTTCGTTTGCAGCTCCACCATCCCTCGCCCTCTGATCTCCCTTCTCTCTCGCTCTCTCCTCTTTTTGGTCCTCCTCCTTCTCCCGTTCCACTCGCTTTCCCTCTTCTTCCCCTTCCCTTCTCCTCGCCCTCGACGCCGCCGCCGCCGCGGTTCCCGTTGTGTTTTGGGCACGCATGAGTGCTCTTACTTTCCCGAATCCCCAATCGCCTAAGATTGACCCAGGTACCCCCACACTCGCCCCATGATTCCCAAGCAATTCTGCCGATGGCCAGAAGACATTCTAACGAAGGCCCAACAACAGCCCACGAAGCTTCCATGGCTACCCTGGAGTTATGCAAGCACGTTCGATCGAACGCGCGTTATTGCCGCCGGCTCCGCCGATACTCCATCCCGTGTTACTGCAAGAGGTTCCGCCGATACCTCGTCTATCTAGAACTTGAGCGCGCGCGAAACATGCGCGATGGTTCTGGTATGTGTATGTAATACATGTAGATAACTATTCCTGTTGTTCCGTATGCCGTCAGAATCATGGGTCAGCTGCGTGGGCTTCCGCCCATGAGGCATGCGGTTGCCTGCTCACCACGCTGGAGTGATGGTAAAGAGGTGGAGGAGGAGAAGGAGGAGGACGAGGAAAACGAGTTGGACCCCGAGTGCGCCAGGGCAATTGAAGGTGTCGGAGGCGGTCTTGCAACGACCAGTCCGACCCCCCCCTCTAGTTTTCTACCTCCTCGCTCGTTCCCCGCGCGGGGTGTGCAAAGGGCTTCTGTGAGCCCCTCCAGGCCCACCTTCTTGTGAATGAGATGCAGCAGTAGTAGAACACTGATGAGGACGCACGGTGACTGAGCAGATGCACCGAGCATTGTATTCGTTTTTACATTTGTAGAATCTGTTCCCGTTCTGGATTGTAGTTGCACCCTGTTTTTTGGATTGGGCCGTTGCAGGAGGTTGGACACAGTGTGCCCCTGGCGGGCCCATAAAACACTTGCAGGCCGCTCTATCCAAGACGCCCGCTCTGCGAAAGTCCTGCTGGCGCGATAGAGCCCCAGGGCGAGAGATCTGCCAGAGAGTTGCCAGCTGCACGCGATCACGCGCAGTGTTTCACAGCGACGGTAACTGCGCTTCGTCTCTCACATATCGACGACCTTCGGGAGCTGCCGGTGTCTCTTGCCGTATGCATTACAATCGTACGCTGCAGTGATAACTCACGCCACTGCTACGCAGCCAATGCTCGATAGTCAGTTCTTTTACTTCAGGTCGGTGGTTGGGCTGGGAAGCCGCTCGATCATCGACAGAATGCCCGTGTCACGGAACCTGCGTGGGAGCTCTGGCTGACGGAGCGCCGACTCGATCACTGACGGGGCAGCGCGCCCAGAATTCAGACTTCTCGTTCCTGGTGGGGAATCACGAGGGGCGGGGCTTCGGGCAGGTATCCCTCTTGCGCCCACCGGCACCTCCTCAAAGTGTGTGTGTGTGGGTGTGGCGACACTCCCGCTATGCTTTCACGCGCGCAGCAGGGGTTTACAAGGATAGGCAAGCAGCATGAGTAAGCCCAAGAGCACGGCCCAAACATCACGTAGTCGGTGCGGGGTCAGTTTGAGCGAACCTTGGGACGGATGCGGATCCGCATCCAGACTGGCTCAAGCCAGACCGATAACGTAGCCTGACAAGTTGCGCAGTCGTCGGTCCATCACCTACTCTTCGCGTCTATCACTGACCGTCCATTGCGAGACCTTCTCGACGGCACCACTACGTCGAGGGCAAATCAAGAGGTACATCTACTCGACATAACACGTGGAGCCATCAGGGGCTGAGGGAATCGGGGGCCTGAAGGTCGAGGTTCGAGATCTGGATGAGCGGTTTTGAGGCATGGTGTTTGGCCTGTGGAGACGGGGGTGCCTACGACAGTTGTGCTTCAAGCAGGACCCCGGCCTGCCAGCAGATCCCCCACGGGAACTTCGGATCCGCTGGTGGCCCCGTGGAGCCACAAGAGGCCCCAGGAGGCCCCGGGATTTTTGTTCAGAGATTGGCGACAGTTGTGCCAGCTGCTCTCTTCAGACTCCCCCCGCCCCCAGTTGGGTCTGAAGCCCTCGGCGCCTGGAGGGATCAGCCCCATATCCCCACCTGGGGGTGGGGGGTGCAGCGGCCAGTGGGGCCACAGCGCCACATCGTCATGCCCTTTCAGTAAGGCCCCCTTTCGGAGGCAGGAAAGGGGAAACGCCGTGATCGGATGCACCGAGGAGGGGAGAAGAGGAGGAGGAGGAGGAGGAAGAGGAGGAGGAGGAGGGATCTCTTATGGCCAGGTCTCTTGCGCATGCTGGACGCGCCTGCGCCGGCCCTGGCCAGGCCCAGCTCCCAGGCCCGAGGTGGGTGCCGGGCGCACGGCCGGCGCCCTCCTGCGGGAGAGCGCTGGGCCGAGCGGGCGCGGCCGTGGCCTCCCCAGGCGTCCTGGCATCGCTCGGACGTGTGCATTCTTTCCTCGGCGAGGACCATCGAGGGCCATCCTGGACCATCGAGCAGCAAAAAAACGCACGAAGCCGTAAAGTGCACAGGAAATGGACGTCCGAGCGACGGCGAGGCGTCGGCAGCGGCGCACCCCCCCCGCCAGGAGACCTGGAAGGGACCACCGCGGGTGTCCGTGGCGCTACTCTCGCGACCGCCGCCCATCCTGCCTCGCAACCTTCTTCCCCTCTCCTCCTCGACCCTCCCCCTTCCCCTCTCGCCCTGCCTCCCTCTCCTCTCCGTCTTCTTCCCTTCACCTTCACATTCCCTCGCCCCTGCCCCTGTCCTCCTCCGTTCTTCTGCCTCGCACTCTCCGTCTCCGCCTCCCCTCCTGTCCCCCTCCCCTTCCCCCTGATCGCTCTACGACCCCCTATCCCCCCCCCCCCGCTCCTCCTCACCTTTCCCCTCTCCCCCTGCCCTGCCCCGCCCCCCTCCCCTCCCCTCCCCTCCGCCTCCCCCTCCGCCTCCTTTGGCCTTCTCGTCCTCGCTTCCGCGGTCGGCGCCGCCCTCCTCGCTGGCCTCCGCCAGCAGGTGGCCATGCGCCGCGACGACGAGGGCCAGAGGGTGCTGGAGGTGTTCCAGGGGCTCGGCGCGAGGACCCCCTGCACGACCGTGGGTCCTCCGCGGGGGCCCCAGAGCCTCCCTCGCCCTGGCCGCCTCCTGCGCCTCTCCCCCGCCCCCGCCCCCCTTCTCCCCCCCTTCTCCCCCCCCCTTCTCCCCCCCCCCCCCTTCTCCCCCCCTTCTCCCCCCCTTCTCCCCCTTCTCCCCCGACCCCCCTTCTCCCCCTTCTCCCCCTGCCCCTTCTCCCCCCTTCCCCCTTCTCTCCCCCTTCTCCCCCCCCCCCCCCTTCTCCCCCCCTTCTCCCCCCCTTCTCCCCGCCCTCTCCTCCCCCCTCTCCGAGGCGGGAATTGATGCATGACCACCGCCCTGGAGAGTCAGCTTCCGGAGCCTCGGCAGGCGGTGGATACGGACATCTTCGGGCCCCCGGGGGCCGAAACAGATCCACATCCACCGCCCGCTGGGGCACCGGGACGTCTGTTCCCAAGGCGGTGGATGTGGATAAATGCCCGCCTCGCACCCTCTCCTTTCCCCTCTTCCGCCTCCTCGCGCCCTCTCGCGGGTGGCCTCTGCGGCCGCCCGACCCCGAACGCGCGCACTCAAAGTGTCTGGTATGGACCTCGCCGTCTTGTGCTGCAACGGCACGGCAACATATCTAGGGCAGGCCATTACATGTCCCGACGCCTCTGCGACCGAGAGCACGCGACGCAGTACACAGGCTGGATGGGCATGTTTCACGACCCGCAGACAGGAGCGAACGAGCAGACATGAACCACTGAAGCACCAGCTTCGACTCAACCAAGGCACGGTGATTTCCACTATGCTACATGGCGTGGAAGCGTGGACATTGACTGGACCACTTCAACAGCAGCTCCGCGGAACACGGGCGAATGGTTGGAAAGATCATCGGCACACCCTAGAGACACACGACTACCACGCAGACTCCACAACCCCGACACCGTGTCTGACTTCGTCTGCAAGAGTACTCGCAGGGCAGAGTCAACGCGGCGACACATTAGATTAGTTGTAGCGCATATGTCCAAACGAATCGTATGGCGATGGCCTGCCCAGATAACCAGGCATCAGACAGAGCGGTGAACACGAAGAGCGCTGAATTGGAACCCTGGCCAGAGCATCCTTCAGCAGTGTTTGAGATATCATAGCGGGCAGAGCTCGATCGACGACAGCGACACCTAACGACACCAGTGACGTTACGAGACTATGACTGCAATTAGACCACAGGGTTGCAAGCAGAGACGCAATCGTGGTCGTTCTCTTGGCATCGCTCGGACGTGTGCATGTTTTCTCGGCGAGAACCATCGAGGACCATCCTGGACCATCGAGCAAAAAAACACGCACGACACCGACAAATGCACGGGAAATGGACGTCCGAGCGATGGCGAGTTCTCGTGCGAGCACGGTTCTTACAACTCCTGAAACAGGCGTCGGCCTCGCGCGCCATCCCCTAACGGGCCAGGGCGCGCGCGCCTCGCCGAGTGGGCAGGAATCTGCGCGCCACGTCGCTCCGCCTCCTCCTCCTCCTCCTCACCCTCCTCCTCCTCCTCCTCCTCCCCCTCCTCCTCCTCCTCCTCCTCCTCCTCCCCGTGCCTCCCCCTTCTCCTCCTCCCCTCCCCCACCTCCTCCTCCTCCTCCTCCCCTCCTCCTCCCTCCTCCTCCTCCTCCTCCTCCTCCCCAGTTGCCAAGCTATGGACCCCCTCCCCCTCCCCCTCCCCCTCCCCCTCCCCCTCCTCCTTCTCCTCCTCCGCCTCCTCCTCCCCCTCGGAGGAGGAGGACCTCCTCCTCCTCCTCCTCCTCCTCCTCCTCCTCCTCCTCCTCCTCCTCCTCCTCCTCCTCCTCCTCCTCCTCCCCTCCTCCTCCTCCTCCTCCTCCTCCTCCTCCTCCTCCTCCTCCTCCTCCTCCTCCTCCTCCTCCTCCTCCTCCTCCTCCTCCTCCTCCTCCTCCTCCCCCTCCTCCTTCTCCCTCTCCCTGTGCCTCCCCTCCGGGCGCACTCTACGCCCCCCCTCCGTGCGCGACCACCACGGAGCCGTCCCCCTTCGGACGACGGTGGTCGCACACCCGGCCGGCTGCCTGCGCTCGCGAGCTCGGTCGCCGCAGGCTGCCGAGGGACGCGTCGTCTCCGAGGCCTCGCGCCGCCACGCGCCGCCACGCGCGGCGTGCGGCACGGCCGTGCACGGCCGTGCCGCACCTGCCCAGAGCCATCACGGAGCCCCCTGGCAGGCCAGGGCCGATGCGCCTACTGTCATGTCGGGCCTGTCCCCCTACAGGGGGACTTTCGACGAAAAATTAAAGATACCCCCAAATAGTCCAACAATAGTCCAAAAATAGTATGGGGACTATTTTTTGAATATTTTCTAGTCTTTTTGGAGCATTGTTGGGGTATTTTTTAGTTTTTCGTCGAGATCCCCATGTAGGGGGACACGCCCGACTTAAGCCTACTGCCGCACACCTGGCGGCTGGGTTGCAACGGGTTTCTGTCTCCAGACGGACCGCCAGCCGAGCAGCCGGAGAGTCACGACGTCGCTCGGAGGTTCCGACGGTCAGAGTCGGAGGTCGGAGATGGAGGACGCGGCCATCCCCGTGGACGGCAGAGGCAAGGCCAGGAACCTCAGCAAGGATGCTCTCATCCGCGGCAAGCGCCTGCTCAACTTCGCCTGCGGCGCCTGCCTCGACAGCGGCGGCACCCACACCATCCAGAGCGTCGGCCTGGACATCGAGGAGCTGTCCGACGCCCTCCTGCCGCGGAACACCATCGACCCCTTTAGCCGGTTGCATCAACGCCCCGATCACGTACAATGGCCTCAAGGACATCTCGAAGGTGCACCCGTCCGTCATCGTCTCGGACCTGTGCCCCGAGATGCGTTCCATTGCAGTAGCAGGACCTGTGCGTCACCTCGGCCTACATCCTGTTCCCGGACTGCGTGGTCCTGGAGTCTAGCTTTAAGTCGGGCCTGTCCCCCTACAGGGGGATTTTCGACGAAAAATGCAAAGAAAACCCAAACATAGTCACAAAAATACTCAAAACATAGTCGGGGGATGATTCTTGAGTATTTTCTGACCTTTTTGGGGTATTTTTCGGGTACTTTTATTTTTCGTCGAAAGTCCCCCTGTAGGGGGACACGCCCGACATAAGTCTAGCTGGTACTGACCGGCGGGTGCAGTCCGCCAGTTCCCAAGCCGACGACCTGGCCAAGGCGACCACTGGCCGACAGTCGTCAGCAGCACGGTTCGGCGGCCCGAGTCGTTGCCGCGCACCACTGGATGAACTGTGCCTGCGCGCTCGTCAAGACAGGCGCGGTGAGACTCCAGATGCACGCGAACGCTGTTGCGCTGCTGACCCCAGGCACTGCTGCGACCAGCTACGCCCGCCGGCACCAGCACACGAAGGAGTGCCGAGGGCTTATAGCTGCCATCAGGGAGCTGTGTCAAGCAACAGGGATCTTTACGTGCTTGTGGGCGCCTGACTCTTTTGGGCGCCGTACTGCGCGGGTTGTCTGAGGCCCCCGCCCCCCCCGGTCTTGCCCCGCGTTTTCCGCCCCCCCTCTCTCCACGAGATCTCGGGCCGAGCAGCAGAGAGACGCCATATTGTATGCTTGGCGGTTGTCTGGCAGCGCGGCCTTCGGCAGCACGCTGGCATGCGATCCTTTTCCTGTTGCGAGTTGGAAGAGGGTTGGAGGATGGGTTGGAGGATGGCGGGTTGGAGGATGGCGGGTTGGAGGATGGGCTGGAGGATGCGGAACAAGGACGCGGATGAGGGTGAGGAAGAGAAGGAGGAGGGACTGAGGCAGTGGGCAAGTCCCCCCCCGGAAATGTGCGCCTGGGGGCTGCCGTCGGCCACCAACCCAGCGCCACTTACTTATCGCGTTGTTCCATCTGTGCCCCCCTCGTTCTTCCTCCTCCTCCTCCTCCTCCATCTACTCTTCCTCCTCCTTCGTCTCCTTCTCCTCCTTCTCCTTCTCTTGGTCCTCCTTCTCCTGCTCCGCCTCTTCCTCCCCCCCCTCCGCTTGCTCCGTCTGCTCCGTCTGAGGCTGGCCTTTGTCCGGCGGAGTTTCTGTACGCCGACCCCGTGAGGTATGCACGTGCTTCGCTGCCCCAGTTCGCGGTTTCTGTTCCAGGCCTTACGGTCTGCGCGCTGTTGCGGCTTGGTTGGTTGGGGGTGTCTGTTGGTGCTTCGCAGTTTCCTGTCCTTTCCTCTCCCTCCCAGTCAATGTTGAGGGCAGTGCGGATGTGTATGAAAATCAGGTGGGCCATGCCAGAATGAGACCCTCCCCATGCGCATGCCTCATATCCGATCCACGTTTGGGGCATGGACTGTCCGTCCTAAGGCATGTCTTGGCGCTTCGCGCATCCCCGCCGATCTAGTCAAGACAGCGTTGCGCTATCAACATCCTCCGTGTCTCTTCTGTCCTCCTTTCCCTCTGTGCTCTAATGCCGTGTGGTGTCGGTCGTGGGCCCGTGGAGCCCTCGACCCGACGACTTGTTTCGGTCACCGTTCCGCTCCCCTATCCAAACGGTCCCCTTCCGCTCTTTTCACGCGTGCCATGTCTCGTCCCCCCTCCTCCTCCTCCTCCTCCTCCTCCTCCTCCTCCTCCTCCTCCTCCTCCTCCTCCTCCTCCATTCCTTCTCCTGATAGATAACTCCTCCTTGTCGCACCCCGAGCCCAGTTTTTAGGGCGGGCGGGCCTGGCGTTTCGCCTGAGACTTCCTCACCATGTATGATTCCGAAGCTAAAGAAATTGCAACAGTTTCACAGATGGAGGGCTGGTCGCTTTCAAAATGCGGCTCTCGTCTTCACGCCGCGCACATTCGTTGTTTTTAATGTTGCAAGAGTTTCACGAATTGAGGGCGGTTGGTTTTCAAACTGTGGCTGTCGCCTGAGCGCCGCGCACATTCGTTTTTTTGTTGTTGTTTGTTTTATTGTTTTTTCTCTTCTGGAAAAAACATGCAAGGGTTTCACGGATTGAGAGCGGATTGAGGGCGGGTCGTTTTCAAGATGTGGTTCTCGCTTTTGCGCCATGCACATTCGTTTTTAAATATTTGCAAGAGTTTCACGGATTGAGAGCGGGTCTTTTTTTTGCGTGTGGCTCTCGCATTAGCGCCGCGCACATTCCTTTTAAAACATTTGCAATAGCTTCACGGATCGAGGGCGACTCCTTTAAAAATGCGGCTCTCGTCTTAGCACCGCGCACATGGGATTTTTTCATGTGCAAGGGTTTCACGGAGTGAGGGCGGTCCCTTTTCAAAATTCGGCTCTCGCCTAAGCGCCGCGCACATTCGCTTTTCTAAATTCGCAAGAGTTTCACGGACTCCCATGATCAACGCACCAGAAACGTTTTTTTTGAAAAGATTCAGGATTATGCGGGCGAAACTGTTATGTTGATTCGCTGAGTTGAAGTCCCAAAAATCGCGTTCTGGCACGGTTCTGGATCGTCAAGACGCAGCAGTCTGGTTGATACGTGGCGTTGAAATCCCGAGAACAATGTTTTGGCACGCTTCAGGATCTTCAAACTGTTGTCTTCCAGCGAGGCAGTTCCCTCAATGGAATTGAACCGTTGTAGGGGCCTATGAAGAGGGAGCTTGGAGGGAGGGTTAATTCCAACATCGTTGATGACCCTTGGGTTTCCACTGGTCCTCCTCCCCCAACTCCTCCCCCTCCCCCTCCTCCTCCTCCTCCTCCTCCTCCTCCTCCTCCTCCTCTCTCCACCTCCTCCGCCCGCTCTTCCTTCCCGTTGTTCTCCTTTGGGCCCACCGACCAAATTGTGAATGATGGTGTTGGGAACTGCCCAGTGGTATATGCACATGTTGTTTGTGATTTCACTGGTTGGGTCCAGTAGTCAGCCATCACTTCAACTTCCAGACACATGGCCGCCCTGCAGCCAGCAGGCCAGTAGGATGCAACAAGAGGGCGGAGGGGCGGAATCATATTGCCACCGATAATTTGAAGTACGGGTCACATCGGGCTCGGGGGGGCTACTTTCGTCCCCTAGACGCCCAGGGACGCGCACCCGACGCGGAAAATTCTGGAATAGTTTGGGGTAGCATGGGGAAATCTTGCGGAATCTGAAGAATGCCGAGGAGCCTTGGGGGATCTGAGCGAAGCCGGAAGAATCTGGAAAACATCGGACACCCGCGGGTGCGCCCGACTTGAAATAGAATTTGGAAACATATTAAAAAACTAGTCTGGAGGGATTAGAGCTTCTGAGCACGCTGACCCTGGAAGAGGAGTCCTGATGATTCTGGAGGAATCGGGAAGAATGCAGACGCCAGCGCGCGCGTCTAATCTGGAAGAATCTGGAGGGAGTTGGAAGAACCTGGAAGACTCTTCACGAATCTGGAGGAATTTGGAAGAAGTTTGGAAGAACCTGGATGGATCTGGAAAGTTCGGATCTATCTGGACGCACGTGGCAGCGCCCAAACTGCAGCAGATAAACGCATCAAACAGCATTTGCACTTCTGGCGCCCGCGAACGCGCCCAATCTGGAGAACTCTTCAGGCATCTGGCAGAATCTTGCGCGGCCGCGTCTCGGCTTGCTGCGTGGGTTTCGGCGCGGCCCGTTCTAGCTTTCGCCGGAGCGACGCCTGTGGGCCGGGGGAGGGGTAACACGTATGCAAGCATACGTTGTGCACTCTGGCGGGCCTCCGTCTCCAGTTTGCTTTTCCTGCGCATCGGCGGGGGCGTGCGTGCGTGCGTGCATGCGTGTGTGTGTGTGTGTGCATAGCGTAGGCTCTTCAACTCGGTCTTCTGCGAGCCTCGCGGCGCTTTCCGCGCCGACGATCTTGGTCGATTTGGTGGCGACCTAGATTGCGGTGCGTACAGGGCACCTTTCGTCGCGACTTCCGTTGCACGAGCGGTACCCAACCAATATATTTCCCAACCATCCTGTGGTGTTGGGTCCTCGTTTAGAAGAGATAGCGCCCCGCGTTCTCCTGCCTCCTCCTTTCCTCTTCCTCCCCTTCTCTCTCCTCCCCCTCCTTGCCTCTGCCCTTCGCATGTCTGTGTTTCGGCGCACCCAGTGCGTTTCGTGGCCCCATAGGGATGTCCACCGAAGGTCCCAGTGGCGCAGCCCGCATGCGGTTCCCCCGCCCAGTCCAGCGTTTCGTGGCCCCAGAGGGAGCTCCACCGAACCTTCCAGTGGCGCAGTCGGCATGCTGTTCCCCCGTCCAGTACAGCGTTTCGTGGTCCCAATGGGAGCTCCAGCAGAGGTCCTAGTGGCGCAGTCCGCATGCGGCTTGCCCGCCCATTACAGCGTTTCGTGGCCCCAGAGGGGGAGCTCCACCGAAGGTCTCCGTGGCGCAGTCCGCATGCGGTTCCCCCACGCAGTCAAGCGATTCGTGGTCTGAGAGGGAGCTCCCCCGAAGGTCCCAGTGGCGCAGTCCGCATGCGGTTCCCCCGCCCAACGCAGCTCCACCGAAGGTCCCAGTGGCGCAGTCCGCATGCGATTCCCCCGCCCAGTACAGCGTCTCGTGGCCCCAGAGGGAGCGCCACCGAAGGTCCCAGCGGCGCAGTCCGCATGCGGCTCCCCCACCCAGTACAGCGTTTCGTTGCCACATAGGGAGCTCCCCCGAAGGTCCCAGTGGCGCATCCCGCATGCGGTTCCCCCAGCCCGTACAGCGCTTGGTGGCCCCAGAGGGAGCTCCACCGAATGTTCCAGTGGCGCAGTCCGCATGCGGCTTCCCCGCCCAGTGCAGCGTTTCGTGGCCACATCGTGTTTCGTAGCCACATAGGCTGCTCCACAGAAGGTCCCAGAGGCGCAGCCCGCATGCGGCTCCCCCACGCAGTACAGCGTTCGTGGCCACGAAGGAAATTCCACCGAAGGTCCCAGTGGCGCAGCCCGCATGCGGTTCCCCCGCCCACGGCAGCGTCTCGTGGCCCCAGGAGCTCCACCGAACCTTCCAGTGGCGCAGTCCGCATGCTGTCCCCCCCGCTCGCTACATCGTTTCGTGGCCCCGTAGGGCCATAGGGAGCTCCACAGAATGTCCCAGTGGTGAGTCCGCATGCGGTTTCCCCGCCCAGTGCAGCGTCTCGTGGCTCCATAGGGGGTTCCGCCGAAGGTCCCAGTGGCGCAGTCCGCATGCGGTTCCCCCGCCCAGCGCAGCGTTTCGTGGCCCCAGAGGGAGCTCCACCGAAGGTCCCAGAGGCGCAGGCCGCATGCGGTTCCCCCGCCCAGCGCAGCGCTTCGTGGCCCCAGAGGGGCCTCCACCGAAGTTCCCAGTGGCGCAGTCCGCCTGCGGTTCCCCCGCCCAGTACAGCTTCTCGTGGCCACAGAAGGAGCTCCACCACCGACAGTTCCAGTGGTCCAGTGGCGCAGTCCGCATGCGGTTCCCCCGCCCAGTACAGCGTTTCGTGGTCCCATAGGGAGCTCCACCAAATGTCTCAGTGGCGCATCCCGCATGCGGTTCACCCGCCCAACGCAGCGTTTCGTATCCCCATATGGAGCTCCACCGAAGGTCTCAGTGGCGCAGCCCGCCCAGTACAGCGTTTCGTGGCTGGGCCTCGTGATCATACTTTCTGGCATGGACGGTTATCCCGTTTCGTTCATGTAGGTTGGTGCTGATTTCGTGGCCTGTCAGCTGTGACATGAATAACTCATCTAGGCCCAGGGCCCCCAGTTTTTTGTGTTTTTTTCTCTCCGTCTCCGTGTTGAGACCACTCGTTGGCCATGCTGGCTCTTGTTGGCGATAGTTTTTGGTCCTGCTTCGTGTGGTTCCGGCGGTTACGTTGCCGACGTGCCGTGCGTCACTTGGGGTCCGTAATGTTTCAGAATCGCGCAACCCGCCGAAAAATGTGGCTGACTTCTTCCATCATCATGTTGAAGATATTTGCCAGATTTGTGCAGACTTCTGTAGGCTTGTACCAGACGCGTTCAAACCTCCGAATAGCGCGGACGTCAAACTTGTTTTTGAAATGGGAACCAATGTTTCCAGAAGGCGCGAACGGTGCTGCGGTTCGAGCGCGCGCCGGGCAATGTTTGTGCCAGGCCCCCACGCGCAGTGCACTGTTCCCACCTGTCAGGCAACATCCATCGGACGGTCGACATCAGGCTGTGTTAAGCACTGGGCTGCCGTTGTGATCCACGGTTCTGGTCAGGCTGAGCTCGTCCTACGCACGTGCTGGCCACAGACGAGCCGATAGGGCTCCCCAGGGTTCGCGACGTACCGTGCGGGTTGAGGCTCCTGGGCCATGGGTGAACGGTGCCGAGCGTCCACTGCTGAGGCCTCGCGGTGCGTGCTTGGTACCTCATAGTGGGTGATCCTCCGTGGCCGAAGTGCTCCGGAGGGACTCTGTCCAGTGTCATGTGCTCCCGAAGCGAATCGGAGCATGCGTGTGCGCCCGCCGCCATTATGGCTCCAGCGTGCGCTCGACACATCTTGAACTGAGATGTTGGATAAAGTGCTCTTCTTTCTCATATCTCCTCTAATGCCATTACCGCCACGTGTATCACCACAGCCAACACCCGCATCTCCAATCTCCCTTCCCCCCTCCGTTTCCCCCCCCCCCGCCCCGAAGAGGTCCTCCGAAGCCTGGCTCGTCCAGCGACCCAGACAGCCTGGACTTGCGCGGGCCGCACGGCCTCGGGAACCTGACGCTACAGGAAATTGTTTTTTGGAAGAGGAGGAGAAATGGGGGATAAGGGATTTTGATGAGTATGTTGATACTGATGGTGACGGTGATGATGATGATGATGATGATGATGATGATGATGATGATGATGATGATGATGATGATGATGAGATGCTGATAATGCTGTTGATGAAGATTATTATGATGAAGATGAGGTGGAGGGAGGAAGGAGGAGGGAGGATGAAGGAAGGAGCGAGGAGGAAGGAGGAAGGAGGAGGGAGGGGGGACGAGGCAGAAGGGAGGAGGGAGGAGGGAAGAGAGAGGAGGAGAAGGATGGGGGCCAGAGTCAACCCAAGATGTATCAACGGTGCCACAATACACCGTCCCGTCCCGAGCCCCCTGTCCACACATCTCTGCAAGCCATCTCCTCTATCTTCAAAAGGCGCCTCATTGAAATTCCGGAACCCTATAGTGTTATCGTTGAAGCGAATACGTCGTTTCGGAAAAGGAGCCAATTGTCCAACATCCGTCCAGCGAACGGTACGGCATGCAGAAATGTATGATCATACAGTTCAGCAATGTGTCCAGTATTAGATCCGTTTTGAAAGGGACGGCCTCCAGTTGTGGAGTTGGTGTGCAATTTATCCAGGACGAGCGTCGAGGAAATCGCGATTGACCGCCCTCTATTTTGGCAGCTGTAACGCATGTTCAAGCTTCTGGTCCTCAAGTTCAAAGGAATACCGCGCAGCTTTGGAATGGAATCGGCCTTGACGTGTGCAGCTGTTGCATCAGTCCAAGAAGTGTCAAGCGAAAAGGAGCCGCGTACCATCCTGGTAACCGTCTCTTGCTTTAAGGACGAATGTGCGCGGCGCAAGAGCGATACCCCCACCCAAACATGAATCAACCTTTGCCCGTGAATCAGTTGCAACTTGTGCCGCAGCGAATGTGCGCGGCGCTAGGGCGAGAGCTCCATTTTAGAAAGGAACTGTCATCCAGCCTTGCATCGAGCGAATCGTGCGCCGCGCTGGGGCGAGAACCCCATCTTGGAAAGGAGCCGCCCTCCACCCTAGAGAGTGATACAAACGGGGCGCCTGCTGCGCGACTCTCGTGCGAGAGCTCCAGGCTTACAAGGAACGGCCCGCCATCCTTTGAAGTTGCTGCATTCTTGTGTGACGGGACCCCCCCCCATCCTGTGTCCAAGGGGCGTTCTGGGTGCTCGTTGACAGGATCACCCAGGACTTCTGGGCCTTTGAGGGTCCCTCCCAACCTGTGCAAGCGGTCCACCGGTGATGCCAAGAGGCTCCCAAGGCACTCCAAGAGGGCCCCGAGACATCCCAGGAGTGTCCCAAGAGGGACCTAGATGGCCGCAGGACGGCCCGAGAGACCCCCAAGATGCCTCAAGAGGCTTTCAAAAGGACCCCCCAGAAGCGAATGACTTTCCGAATGGTGCGCGGCGCTCGGGCGAGAGTCCCATGTTGACACCATCCTTGAAGTTGCTGCGATCCCCAAAAACACACAACACACACACGCACACGCACACGCACACGCATACGCACACGCACACGCACACACACACACAAACACACACACAAACACACACAACACACAAACACACACACACAAACACACACAACACACACAAACACACACACACCACACACAACACACACAACACACAACACACACAACACAACACAACACACACAACACACACAACGCACACAACGCACACAACACACACAACACACACAACACACACAACGCACACAACGCACACAACACACACACAACACACAACACACACAACACACACAACACACACAACACACACAACACACAACACACGCAACACACGCAACACAAACACACACACACACACGCACACACGCACGCACGCACGCACGCACGCACGCACGCACGCACACCCACACCCACACCCACACCCACACCCACACAACACACGCACACGCACACCCACACGCACACACACACACCACACACACCACACACACACCACACACACCACACACACCACACACACCACACACACCACACACACCACACACACCACACACACCACACACACCACACACACCACACACACCACACACACCACACACACCACACACACCACACACACCACACACACCAAACACACCACACACACACACACACCACACACACCACACACACCACACACACCACACCACCACACACCAC